AGCACTGCTTTCTTGATGGTATGAGGTCCCCCTGTCTCACTGCTCACTTCTGTCTTTTATATCTCAAGAGATTGCCTCAGGATACACTCCAATCTTGTAGATCCAGTCCTGCCTTACTAAACACAACTGCCACCCATCCTCCCTCATTAACATCATAGAGGCAGGATTTACAACATATAGGAAAATCACACAATACCAGGAATCATGGCCCAGCCAAACTGATAGACACATTTTTTGGGGGACATAATTCAATCCATGACACCATCTACGAGGAATTATTTACTTAAGAGAGAGCTGATTTCTAAGATTCTATTTTAGGAAAACAATTCTTTTATTGTAGTATATATATTTACAAAACATTTGCCATTTTAACATTTTTTACCGCTCTCCATTTTCAATATTTTTTGTCACCCTTAACAGAAACTCAGTGCCCCTTGAGCAATAGCTTCTCCTTTTACCCTCCTACCGTCCCTTGGTAACCTCTAATAAACTTTGGCTGCTATACGTTTGCTAAATCTAGATATTTCATTTATGTGGGACCATACAATATTTGTTCTTTTGTGTCTGATTTATTTCACTCAGCATGATGTTTTCAAGGTTCATCCACATCATAGCCTACATCACAACTTCATTTCTCTTTATAACTAAGTAATATTCTATTGCATGTATATACCACATTTTGTTTATCCATTCATCTGTTGATGGACACTTGGGCTGTTTCCACCTTTTGGCTATTGTGGATAATGCTGCAATAAACATTGGTGTACAAGTATCTGTTAGAGTCCCTGCTTTTGAGTCTTTTAGGTATATAGCTAGAAGTGTGTGGTTTAATGAATTACTTAATATGGCCCTTCTAGCTATAATCTTTGTGACTCCCGCACCATGCAAATAAGGTGTATGGAACCCTAATGAGGGGATTGATTAGTTTTGCCATCCTCTAGGCTTAAAAGAGAGTCAATCCTAGAGCAGGGAGGGGGAACTCACTACCACCAAGAAAGAAAGCTGGGAGCAGAGCGTGTCCCCCGAACCCAGGGTCCCCGTGCCGAGAACCCCCCAGATCCAGGAGACAGCTGTAACACTAGAAACAGCACAAGACGTGAGAAGCGACGACAAGTGCGACAAAGAACCGGCAGCAACAGAACCAGGAGACCGGCAGGAGACGGCATGGTGGGCTTGCCAGTCCATGGAGTGAGAAAGCTGAGCACCCCCGGGAAGAAGGCTTGCTAGCAGAGTGGGGTGCTCCCGAGCACCCGTAAGCGGAGATAGGCCTGCCAGCCCACGAAGCCAGAGAGTTGAGCGCCCCTGGGCTGAAGCTTACTGGCGGAGTGAGGCGCCTCCGGGCACCCATCAATCGAGCTAAATAGCTCTGTAACACTTGCCCAAGCAGGGCAGAGGCCAGGCCAGCTCAAGAGGCCCACAGGGCCAAGGGGCCAAGGGCCAGGGAGAGGCCTGCCTGTGGGCATGGCTGAGAAGCTGTCCTGATGGAAGAACTGTGTCCTGAGTCTTTCCTGGTCCTGAATTATAACCTGTTACCTCCCTAATAAATCCCATAATCGTGAGTATTGTCTGTGAGTTCTGCGTGCCATTGCAACAAATTATCAAATCTAGCAGAGGAGTAGAGAGTGTTGTGGGAGGGACTGCTGGTGTCAGAATTGGTGAAAAGTTTGGAGAGAGGATGTATA